TTCAGATGATGGGGAGGGAAGCTCAGAAGCGTGAGAGGAGACGCAAGAGGAAGTGTCATCTCTTCTGTCTGGCATTGGAAGTTATATTTGTGGGTAGAAAGGAGGTGGTGATCAGAGACAGTGACTCTTTTATAAACACATGTTCCCCATGTTCAACACATACATAATCTTCTATATCTGAGGATGGAATCACAGATTCAGACAACTTTATTTACCCCAAGGAGGGCAGTTCCTTTGCCGCTCACCCAGGCCATACACACAACTTCAAAACTCACAGGCAGATCAGTTAATATCAGAGGCAACAAGATGCAAGATCTCAATACAAGGAACAAAGAGCAATAAAACCAATAAAATAGATAGTTGCTGCCTTCAAGTGATTGAGTTGCTCACTTGTCATGAAGATGGTTTAACTGTTGTCATACGAATCAAAGTGGGGAAATTTCATGACGCATATATTGGCATCTCAATGTCAACGGCAAACCTCATCAGCTGAGAAATCTTACACGGTGGGTTTAACAGCTTTGCAAATCACAAGTGGATCTACTGTTATTAATCAAGAACAAACTTTCAAATTTAACTTTAACAGACTTGTTCTTTATAAAAAAAATAATAATTAAAGAAAGAGATTGACATTTTGGGAGATACTTTATTTATTTTCTTGCTGAGAGTTAGATAAGACTGAAAAATTTAAAGCAACCACCGGCAGCTGGTTAGCTTAGCATAGAGACTAGAAACAAGTGGAAACAGCTAGCCTGTCCACCTACAGCTTCTCTTAAACTCTATTAACTAACATGTTACGATGATGGTTCTTTGCTGCAACGCGCCACACTACAGGGATTTATCGACATGTCTTCTTCACTGTATTATACAACCTTGTAAGGACATAAGAACGAAGACGGATCTATACTTTCGGATCTATAGCAGACATGTCTGTGCAGCGCTTCATAACAGCTACACAGGTGGAGAAGGTTTCTACTGTCATGTAACATGTAGTTGTACTATAGGTGGATTAAACAGAGCTAATCTTTAGAAAGGAACACAACAAGAAAGAACCATTATTGACAAAATTCATTTGTTTCCCAGCACTGTGCCATGTAGTGAGGTGCCAAGTATTTACGAAAAATACTTGGAGTGAAATTTATTTCCCCTTTCCTCTAAGATTCCCTTGGTTGTTATTCCCTTGTTCCACATAGTCTTGTTGTCTTCTTTTGAACCTGCCATTAAGCACCAGAAGGAACCAGCCAGTATTTTATTGGTGCCTGATTCATACAGTGATATTACATTGTAAATCACAGGCTGTATTATAAACTGTTGGCAACAAAATAAAACTGAAAAAGACCTAGTTTTTTATTACAGTTGAAAAAGACAGGTTCCTGGTAAGAAGACATGTAGGAATTTGTTGGAATGCTTCTTGTTTTCCTTCTTTCTGGTTGGAATCAGGACTCTTTTCAGCTGTGATGGCTTCCCTGACTTGTTTTCCTGCTCCAGATGAATACTCCTGTCCATCACAGCTCTCCTGCCTCCATCCCACACGAGGGGGGCCTGCTGGCTGTCGTTTGAAGCCCTGAGGGGACAAGGACATCTCCTCCTGCCACCGCCGCCGGAGACGGAGGCTCTCTCTACTCGGTTCTCCACCTGGGTCAAAGCATCTGTCACTCTGTTGTTCTCTGCTGTTCCTCAGCGCAGCCAGGCAGCACGACGATGCCGTGTGTGTCCTCATCTTCCTTCACGAGACTTTCCAAGAAGCTGAATCTGCAGGGCCTCCCTTGATCAAGATCTCCTTCTTATCTGCAGCCTCGGCACCGAGAGCGTGAAACTGTGGAGTAGACGGATGTTAAGGTTTGTTTGCGCTGCTGGCAAAACTTTTCTGTTTCGTCACTGGCCTGATGTTTCTTGCTGCTCTGGACAGCACCATCGCTCAGCTCGAGATCTACAGTTGAAATTCCTTTTTCACCCACATATTTTGCCGGACAGGCCCCCGGTCTGATTTGAGTGGGGAGGGGTGGAGGGGATTTATGGTCTGCTGCTGCTGTAAAGGTTCAGTGAAACAAGGTTTGGACCCAGAAGTGTGACTCAAAGGCAGGACAGATGAAGTAAAAGTAAAGTTTACTTGTTTGATGACTCAGCAGTGGTCAACAGTCAGCAGTGGGTTAGGTAACCAAGTCTGATGGGGCATCAGCTATATGGCCCAGATAGCTCAGGGCACAATCTGTCGAGGGGGTAGGTGGAAATGAGCAGAAATGGCAACTGCAGGTGAGTATGACATTGACTGGAAAAAAAAGAAAGATGGCTGACACTGTGACAGCATATGAGCAGTGTGGTTCCTCTTGACCCAGAATATTGGATGGTTTTCTCTTGTGCACTCTGCTTTGTTGTTTCCACAGGGTGTTGAATCTCCGCTCCCAGTCTGTGCCAGTTCACTCGACCTCTTGCTGTTTTTTTCCTTCTTCTTTTCTTATCTCCGCTGTAAAGAAACGACCTCAGGGCTGCTTAAGACTGTTTTTAAGCCTGGAGAAATTAAAAGCTCCACATCTGTGTGCACTCGCTTCAATCCACCTTGTTCAAACATGGATAATCTGTTTGCATTATTCGATCAGCTCAGGTGTAAATCACTCGCATTTAACATTAAATCAGATCCTAATTTGAAAACTTTGAAACCATATTCCAACTTCAGATTACATTTCAATAGGCTCGACGTTGATGTTCAGGTTCCACATCGCACCTGCAATACCACAAACTTTGATGCTTGGGGTTGAGACGGTAAATCCTCCTCTACTTCGTGTTTTCAAAGCTGTGTGGCTGAAATCATTTTGATCATAGAGATAGAAAAAAAAATCCCCATCCACTCAGACAAACCCCAAGTTTGGAAGGACTGATTTCATACAGAGCCCCTCAACCATCTATCAGACTGCTCCCAGGTCTGTGAGCTCAGTGTAAGAAGCAGTCTAATCGATTTAGGAGTCAAAGATTAGATTAGAAGTCTTTTTAAAAGTCTTTTTTTGTCACTTTATTGCACATTGCTAAATACTTTTAGAAATGATGAGAGTGTAGAACAGTTACTTACTGAGCATATTTGGAAAGGATTTCATGTGCAAATATTTCTAATACATATAGTGAATTGAATACACTGGTTCTTTCTTATTTCTATGGGACTTTTCAGTGCAGTCACTCATAAGAGGTTTTCAGTCATGCGGCAGTGTTTGCGCCGAGCCTTTGATAATGGCATCTTCTCATGTTCTCCCATGCAGCACAGCCACGCGGTCTCAGCTCTGCAGTCACACACTGTACTGTACTGCGCAACAGGCTCCCCGCACTCCTCTGCCTCCCACAGCTGCCTGTGCTGCAGCGCGTCCTTTCGGTGGCGCTAGAGCACCAGAAAAAGTGCCGCTGTGGCACGGAGAGGACCGATCGGGCCTAAATGAGCTCTGGCTTTGCCGCAACTGTGATGTGTTATGAAATGAGAGCTGAGTGCTCACTGCAGGATGAGAGGGAGGAGAGCAGATTACAGTCCTCTGCGCTGTAAAGTGTGAAATCACAGATCATGAGGAGACCTTACCTGGGCCAAAATCAAAGTGTGACTGGTGTGTGACACATATCCATCAGGATTTCATGTTTCTCATTCACTTTCAGGATGTTTACTGTTAATAAAGTTAGGTAAGGTTATTATTGCTCACTAAGTGTTCTCATGATGGCACTGAAAGACATACTCACTGTGGCCCCAGTGGCGTTTCAGTCTCAATCTAAATACGCGCGTATTTACGATCGGTGATCCAAATTCTCCTCTTTCGGGACCATTGTATCCCAAATAGCTTTAGATTGTGTAACTGAACCGATCTAACTGATACAACAAAGGGGAGACGTCTCGGTATTGTTCCTTTGTTCTTATGAATACACTGACAAAGGTTGAAATAGTTTCCTGTTACCAGTAACCACCAAACTTCAGGCATGTGGTTAATCTTTTAATCTTTTTTTGTGCCACACTGCGCACCTCTGTCCATCACGGTGCTTAGTGCGCAATAAGACATCCCGAGTAGCTACTGTGTGCTGGTAAATGTGGTCTGTAAGCCATCCAGAGGCAGTTGCATCATTCCCTTTCTGGGCGATGAATTGAACTTGCCTCTCAGAGGACCCCCGGGTGGATCTGTTCTCCGGTAACAGATAATAGGCGCGTGCAGTGGAGGAGCGGCCGCGTGGGTCAGAAGCTCTGCGGGTCTATGATTAGAGCCCTCGTGGGCGTTAAGAACGACTGAGGGAGAATGAAGATGCTCCAGCGTCGTCCTGCCTGGAGACAAGAATGGGTCGCTTTCAAACAAGCCACAAAAGACCTACCTCTCTTTTTAATTTACTCACGCCCACTTCCAATACGTTGCGCTATAATGGGTCACTCTGATTGACCATACAAGCTTATTTCTGGTAACGTTGTCTATATTTATGCGCGTGGACTTTGAGGTCGTAATGAGCCTGGAGCGAGGCCTGTACACGGGGTGGGTGGGGGAGGATGAAACGGGGCTCTGGTGAGACTTGCGTGAGAAAAATGTCACTTTCTTCATGTGTGCTTTTTGCCGCCATAATTGGACGGTCTTATTATTACATCACTGCACAACAGCATGTAGCCTACAAAGCTCATGGGCGTTTGTAGGACCAACACGACCTTTTCTGTCGCGGACTTTTTAGATTATTCTCGACAGGGGGAAAAATGATTTAATGTTTCACCTTCTGCACAAGTGTTGCTCTGTTATTATTATTTCCCAGCACCTTTAACTTGCGACCCTCTCTGGACCTGTTGAAATATGCACCATGTTCCCTATTTATCATTATGTCAGCTGATGTATGGATGAGGGGAAACGCAATCCCTTAGTTGACAACTTGCTCCTCTTATGCTCGCACCACTAACCCCGCCCTTCTCCCCCATGTCGGCCTGCTTGTAAGGTGACACCAGCCAATCACGTCTCCTTCCGCTTCTACCTAGCAGAGAAAAAAACAGCAGAAGGAGGCGGAAACCCGTCTGGGCTGTATATAAGCGGTTAAGCGTGGGATTTTTGCATCAACGTGTCACCCTCCAGTGGTTCACCGTCTGACCGGGAACGCACCACGGAGAGCACAGGGAACCGCAGATCCGTGCTGGCGTGTGTTGCGATTCGCTGTGGACTTTGACCGGCAGTGACCGAGAGGGGAAACCCCACAGCGCCTGCAGCTGCCAGGCCGGGACTGAAACTCATGCTGCCGCTTGACGAGGAGCTGTCCGTCCGCTGTGGTGCTGAACCGCAGGACTCGACCCTTCAACCGGTGACGTAGAGCCGAGACTCATCCCAGACTCTCACAAGACTCAACTCAAAGTAAAAAAATAAATAAAAAATAAAACAGCACAGGTTTATTTATTTTCACATGTGTATGGATTTGAAGCAAGTAAACAAGACAGAAAACACGGAGCAGAAGTGATGGCTGGACTCCCCCCCGCCCTCGGCGTCACTCCGGAGGTCTGAGCTCGCACCGGAACCCAGCGGAGCCTCCGTAGATGAGGAGAGTGACAGAGGCTTTCGATCAGTGAGGTACGCTGGTCGTCTCTTACACAAGGAAATTAGGGAAAGAGATTTGATAGATTGCTCTCCTAAAGGCTCTACATGCAGCTGAGAAAATGGGCTGTATCAGCTCCAAAGCGCCAGTTGGTAAGAGTTGTTTTAATTTGCTCTTATAAAAGCACGCTGGAGGAAGCCTGGTTCTTTTTTTTTTACGCATTTGTTTTGCTGCAGCCTTTCGCGGGTGCAGAGGCTATGAGAGAATTTGGGTGCTTGTGGTGCACAGCATGCTGTGCCCGAGATGTGAGACACATGACAGCGCTGCTGAGTCATATACACATATACGAATAAGGAGCCTACATCTAAATAAGCCTTATAGATGTGTGGAATTTAAACAGTTTCATTCTGTTAGAGGTTAAATGGTGTGTATGTGCGCAGGGGAGCGTTTTAGTGGGGTGGTGGGGGACAGGAGCTATGGAGGGGGTGGGGGGGGGGGTGGGGGGGCTGGTATCTGCAGCCTAAACATCGCGATGCTACGAGAGTTGCAAGAAGCTTTTTTGGTGAGCACGCCAGGCAGAGACAGAGGAGGCAGAGGCGCTCTTGACATCATTGAGGGATGCGCTGTTAAACGGCTTTTTATATTTGTGAGGAGAAGACGCATCCGGACACGATGGTTCTGACCGCGCTGACCCAGTTTAGCTGCAAGGTAGGACACGTTTCTGCTCCTTACGCATGCGATTGCGCAAAAAAAAAAAAAAAATCTTGATGTAGCTTACATCACTCGTTATTTCTAAGCACCCCGGGATGATCTCTTCTTGGCATTAAAGTAAAAACACACATATGAGTTTGCATTCACAGATGTCCAGATTTAAACGGACTCCATCAAAGCTTCCGGGCACACACATGCACACATGCAGCAATAGTTGCTTGTTGCCAAGAAACAAGCTTCCTGTTGCCACCGCATCCACTTGCTCACCAGGTTGTTTACACCTTTGCTGTACGTGTCTCCCATCCGCTCCGCTGGCGGGTAAATGTCGCCGTGGGCCCGGTCCTCTGTGTGTGCTATACCCCGACCTCTGACGCGTGTCTCCCCCCAACACCGCCACCACCACCACCACCACCACCACCACCACCACACAATGTAGCCTCCATAAATCAAACCTGCCCCACATCCATCCATCCATCCATCCATTCATCCATCCTTTTTCCAGATTATGTAAATGTAATATGCGACCTTCCAAACTGTGATCTATCCGTCACACAGATCCCCGCTCCGCTTCTAATTGGTTGTGTAATCTGTCGCTTCAGTCACTTGATGATTATGGCGCCTTGTCCCCGTCTCCTTGTCTCGGAGTGCGTAAGGACATGCCCTATAGTCCCACAAACCATCACATAAAGGCTGCCGTGCGTGTGCACGCTCCCTGCACGTTTATCAAGAGTGTCAAATACAGTAGGTCAATCGCAGCCACCTGTTTGACTTGTCTGTATATGTGTGACATGTCGCTGCTGCTGGTCTTGACCTAATTGTGTTGATTCACTCGTAAGTCTCTCAGAGAGACGCACGGCAGAGGTTTCTCTATCTGCAGTTTCCACGACAACCGGAGCTACACAAAGAGAAGGTGTGTGTGTGTGTGTGTGTCTGTGTGTGTCTGTGTGTGTGCATGCGTGCGTGAGAGAGAGAGAGAGACCTGAGTAAAATAGGCTAAATAAACAAATAAAAATAACATAAAAAGACTGCAGTTCTCATTTGCTCTTTTGGAGATAGATCACAGTCAGGACGAAGGAGATTCATTAAGATAAAAAAGAAAAAAGACGTGGAACAAATGAACAGATCAGCCACAGATGGAGGATGACCGCAGGCCCTCACAGGAGAGCCGCCACAAGTTGCAGCAAGAAGACGAACATTGCCTTCAGACCCATCATGGTTAAATGTGTCTCGTTTTTTCCATCAGACGTGTTTGTGTCCATTTCATTTGATCCATATCCTTCAGCATCTTTGGTCTGACTCTGGGTCATTGCTGTAAACCCATATGAGCAACAGTGACTTATTTATTTGTGCATTGTTGAAATGTGCGCAATTTCGGTTAAAATCTGTTACGCTGCTGTACACTATTAAAACTGCTGGGTTAAAAACAACCCACAAGTTTGGGTTATTTGCAAAAACCGAGCATGTTGGCTTAAATCTTCTACCCAAAAATGGGTAAAAATATCTATGTTGTTGAATTAAAGCTACCCAATAGTGGGTTGAAAAACACAACACGAATTCTGGGTTAAATTGCTTATTTTTTCAGTCAACTTCTGCTGTTAATGTTAAAATTAAATTAAAACTCTTATGAAATGATGGAACAATGAAACAAGCGCATGATGTCCCAGCCATTCTTTTATTGCTACAACTAAAATATATCAAGTCAGCCATGTGTAACTAAATGTTCCCATTCATTTTAAATGTATAAGAATGTATAACATTAATTTCAAATACATGTTTCTCATCCCAGTCTTTCTTTTGGAAGCCTAAACTGCATAAAAATGGCGGACTGCGAAGAATGATCTTCAACCCATCGCGCTGGGTCATAATTAACCCAATGTTAGATCAAACCTACCCAACCTATAACCAAGCAGTTGGGCAGTTATTAAAATAACCCAGCATTTTTTAGTGCCTGTGTCGCAGTAAGTAAACTCAGTAAACACGCATTCATCACCGGGACGCGACCCATGAGAAATATTAACATTTTCTGTCAAGTAGTTTCTGATGTGTCACCTTAAAAACAAATCTCTTTAGAGGTCTGCGCAGCTCAGATGACTGTCACATCCTGCGCCATACCTAACAAGTGCGCATCTCTCACTCCAAACAATACTTTCATTGACGAAGATGCCCCAGATTCAACGACACAATACACCCCCGGGGCATCTGATCTCATCACACCCAATTAAATGGCACATATTGAATTCAGTTGGTGGGCAACTTGAGCTCGGCGCGCTAAACGGCAGGTCTTTGACCCGGGGTGGGAGGGGGTGCGGGTGAGTGATCGGTCCTGATATTGGGCTCAGTATTTGAGATGGGTGCTGGCGACGATAATGAGCGAGTTGTTCTTTTCATCGACAGTAACTAGAAACGCTTCCCCGCAGAGGAGGGCTGGAAAGAGGAGCCGGACACTGACATTTAGAGGGCCCGCCTCTTAATCTGGTTTTGCAAATCTGATTTGAAGAGTGGCGAGCGCGCGCAGGAATGCACGCGCGTGCGTGTGCGGAGGTACTGAGGAGGGGAGCTTCAGCTCCAGCTCTGTGGCGGATGGGATGGGAGCTGTCCAGGTGCTGAAATGTTGCTGTTGCGCTCTGCTCTGTAGGTGTGTTGGACTGTGCCAGGCCTCATCCACACACAGCAGCAGGTTTATAAGCACCTCTGGTTCATCATGGTCCGCGAGGCTGTTAGGTCATGGTGATGGCAGCTGTTAGAAAGGTTGAACTCGTATAATCCTATATCTGTGCGCCATTAAAGGGACGTTTGCGGCCAGGAGGTTGCTCCCGTGTGGCGCCGCTGGTTCCGCAGCTTAGCCTATGTTTTTTGCGGGGATGACGTGACCTGTTCACGCCAGAGAAATCTGTATTAGCTAAACAACAAGTAGGGGATAAAACTGCATAATGACATCACAGGCATGTCCCTTATTCTGTGCTTTTTATGTTTTATACTGCTACCTCCTCTCTGACAAAGCAACTTCATAAAATATCAAACAGGCTTGGGCTGCTGCCAGAGCCTTACTTGCATGACATGGCATGGCTTTAAAGTGCATGGAAGCAGGCCTCCACGCCCCCCTATGTTATCTCACTACAAGTAGTCTCTACAGAGTACGCTGCAGTAAAGGGTTCTGTTAAGGCCGAGCCCAACATTTAGACTTGTACCATACATAATAAAAATAAGGGAAGTAAACCCTCAGTGAAAGTGCATGGTACACGCCGAAAGAGCTTTTTTAAGTTCTACAGCACCCTCAGTGAAAGCCTAACTACATCCTGAGGGTGCTGTAAAAAAAACAATTTAAAATGTATATGAAATCTTCAAACAACTTCCTTTGAAATATTTTTGAGTTTTGGTTTTACTTTGAATCTCTGCTTTCAACCCCCTCCCCATTGTTTGTTTATATATCCCTTTTCAAGACTCTTGGAAACTGGCTTTTATTCTGATTGGGGGTATTCTTCAGTGATATGTAGCCTGCAGTGAGATATGGCAACATCACATTCCCTTATATGGTCATCGCCCCTCAGCAGCTGCCCTGAGATCCCCGTGGAGTCATGGGTTGGCATGGTGATTGCAACTATGACCGTAAGGCAACAGGATTAACCAAATCCTCAAAACTCATAGTTGGTCATTCTTGTAGTGATAGAAATACACGTATTATGAACAACAACATTTAACTGCCACATTAAAGTGGAAGCGTTGTTGTCATAATATTCATTTTTTATTCAAGAGCGATTCCATGGTGCGGAGCTACTATAGGTTTTTACGACTGTTCATTTTGCTATTAACTTCACGTGGCTCTCTTCCTCCTGACAGTGGCGGTTGACGGTTCGTTGCGCGTGGACTGGAGCGCGGCGAGCTCCCTGTCTGACCTCGCGCTTTTGGGGAGCACGCGGACCTGCTTGGCGCGCAGACTGATTCTGACAGCACCTTTGGGCGCACTGGACTTCAGCGAGGTGCCCTTAACTCTCTCTCTCTCTCTCTCTCTCTCCCTCTCTCTCTATCTTTCTCTCTCCTTTTCTCTCACTCTTTCTCTCTGTTAAAAATTAACATTGGTCTGGTTTTGTAATGTAGCCTAGCCTAGCCTAGCCTAGCCTAGCTAATGTAGCTCAACTGACAGCTCCTGCATTCTCCCTATAGCCCACTCTATCATTAAAACGAAGGTTAGTAGACATTTCTAAGTGTTTTATAATGGGCAGTGAAGATTCAAATTAAGCAAATGAGGCATTGAATTTAGTGCAAGTCAGGCGCCATTTAAGAGAACAGGTCTTCTCATGCAAAATTGACATTTTGCATTGATTAG